ATCAACAGAACTAATCATTCCGAGACCGTCATTTTAATTCCTACACCTGGCGCTGGGTGAAGCATCAGTTGCATCGTGACACTGTTCGGTCTCACTGCTTCACTGCGCACCAGAATCGTGCTTCTCAGAGTCGTGGCGCTGAAATGATTTCCGAGAGCTTGGTCATTCAGGCCTGCATTGAATTCTCGACAAAACCACCTAATTCAATCCGGCCAGAGGATCTAAAGCATGGCTTTTATGGTCCCTATCGATATGAACCGGTTGTGAATGATGATTTTGTTTCTCACGCCTCTACCACCAGGATTTATGTGGGATCCTGCCCTTCAACCAATCTTATGTGGAGCGATTATTGCCTTTTTAACCGAATCTTGTAGACATATAAGATCATGGAACTTTGGGATGGCATGGGGAAATCCATCTGATTCACGAACTCATTGTCTGGACCGGCCTGTCATTCTGCCCTTCGTTCTTCATGGGGTCTGTATAGAGAACAAAATTTGAAAGAGCTCAGCTTGGACACGCATGTATTGTTTAACGAATGAATTCTATTTCGAAACTATCAGTAGATCTTTAATGAGTCAAGGTGACCTAATTTCTTGCTTAAGCTCTATTGATAGCTTCGAAGCATCAGCCCCATAGTAAATGTGATTTGCGCCTAGTGACGTCATGCATGTGTGTCCGAGGATTAGCTCTGCCGCTCGACGTGGATGGCTTGGTTTCGGGCCGCATCAAGAATGCTGACGAGACCCAAGAGGAGTCGAACTGAAAGCTAGTCTGCATAAGAGGGCCTTTTGGAAGGCAAGGCTAGTTGCAATGAAGTGGTATCGCGTTGTCGTCTCGGTTGAATGCGGTGAACTCAACTGTCACTCCTTGCGCCACCATAAATGACTTGTGCTGATTCGAGTTCTGGCTTAGGCCCTGATTGCGTTGAAAGTTTGCGTTCCTTGAGTTCACCCTTCGACATACAGGATGCTGATGATAGAATCTGGTTCAGGAGTTACCGCTTGTTTGTCTGCCTTAAGGGAGTCCAGGGGACTGCTTGCCAGCATCCATCATCCATTTGTGATTATTTCTATCTTATCCCGGTCAGACGTCAGCGTCTCGAATCAAGTTGAGACTGGCTTTGGCGGGCAGACTTTTCGAGACCTTCAAGTCGTGTTCTCCGATGCGAAGGCTCCCCTCTCGATGGTCATGCTAGTCAGTGCACTCTAGCCAAGAGTCGTACCAACTGCCTATTAACTGTAGCCGACGGACCATGTCTGTAGGGAGGCATAACAGTTTGCTCACCATGGGTCGCATAAAGTGAATTCCCATAGGCGTTTTGCCATTATTTCACGAGTAGACCCTACAATCTTATTAGGCTTCACTTAGCCTTGTCTCTTAAAAGGTATTCTCAGCCCAACTAGGCCTCTTCAACTCGTCCGAACGGCCAATTGGGACCCTAATCCTAGCCCTAACCGAGCCGTGCGCATCGTGACGACACACATGATTATTCTACCAGACAGGTCAGGCCTTTCCGAAATCGCCGTTACAATTGGCAAAGCTACTTATATTCTGAGTTAGTATGTTTTATTAATACAGGAATTACTGATAGTCCCAAACCCTCATTCCTAAAAAAAAGTGAGACACTTTATCGACCCCATGGCAACCCATGTTTGTGTCTGTCCGCCTCCAGACAGACGTGCAGACGGTGACTCTGAATCGCGCTCGCTCTGCACCTCCTGACGTTTTATGTACGATTCTGTGGCATAAGCGGCAACAGAAAGTTCAGTCAAAGGTCTAGTAATGCAATAAAAATAGAAAATAAAACCCACACCCAACAGGTGTTCTAAAGGCATTACTTAAACTCACATTTGTGGAACTTTATCTCGATATTGTGGTTCATTCGTTTGTGCCATAGGTTGAAGTAAAAAGCTCTTGATTTATTGTCGTTATCAGAAATTTCGCGTATCGCCGGCATCGATATCTCGTCAAGCGGTTGAGTGCACGTGTGCACGAGCATTCCTGCACACCCTGACACTTGGATTGGAGGCAGATGATGGCGAAGCTGAAAAAAGCGAAGTAACAAAAATATTTTCCAACTTGAAAAGAAGACGAGCCATTTTCACCCCCCCCTCCCCATTTGCTTCCGTGGAAACGAGAAGGATGCTGTCTGGGCCATAATGTGGCCGGCTCAGATCCAAGTCTCGTCTGAGAGATGGTGAGACCCAGGAGTCTCGGCAGGATTCAATGACGTGGCGGTACTGTCAACTCCTTCCCTTGTGGGAAAGTCGACTGCCCGGCTCTTTTACGGCCTAAGCAAACTAGGCTGGAGGAATTCCTAGTTTGTCCGACTGCTGACTTGGGCGATAATGTGATTAGTACATTTTCCTTCAATGCCGATGAGCTACCGTCCCTTCTTCGGCGACAGACCTCGTCAGATCGAGTGGCTTCGGTTGGGCCTATTATAGATACATGTTATTTGCCAGTCTGATGGAACATGTAATCACCATGTTCAGTGCAGGTTGGTGCTCGTAAAAGGTATGAAGAGAAACTGGGTTTCGATTAATCTCTTGAGATAATATTGTTAGGGGCTCGTAAAAGGAAGTCGGCTGGTTAGAAAAAGATTAGGCTTTGTGAGGAAGGCTTGCGTCTGGTGCAATCC